GAACGGGTCCGCCAAGGGTAAGGGCAAAGAGCAGTCCTCTTCAACTAGCTCCCAGCCAGCATTTTGGCGCGTGAGCGGGAGGTCTGCCCCGACCTCCGTTAACCCATCAGGCTGTAGACCCAGCCGTGTGTCATTCCCAGTCAGCTCCGCTACTCGGGACCCACGAACGCTCTTACCCAACGTCCCAGTGGGGAGTCCGCCTCTCTATTCCTGCCGGTGGGAGAAGGCTACAAACAACACTTGGGTGCTGGCCACCGTCAGTGTCGGCCATTTACCATGGTGGAAGCGAGGTCCGCCCGACTTCACCGGCATACGCTGCACTCCGTGCGCCGCCATGTCAGGTAAGCGGACATATTGCGCGACGAAGTTCAGGCTTTGCTGGACAAGTCCGCGAATCGGCGCGATACCACTGGGCGAGGAACAGGCGGAGTTTACTCCACGTGCTTCCTCGTCCTAAGAAGAAAGACGGCGGTTCCGCCCCATTCTCAACCTCAAGGGGTTGAATCGCATGCTTCGAAAGTTCCATCCTTCAAGATGGAGACACTGCGCCGGTGATCTCCTCTGTTCAGCCCGGGCGATTGGCTCACGCCAATCGACCCTCAGGATGCGTGATCTGCATGTGCCCATACATCCATCGTTCAAGCAGTACCTTCCGGTTCTCTTCACGACGGGATGTGTTACCAATTCACGGTGCTCCCCTTCGGCATATCGACTGCCCCAAGGGTGTTCACCAAGCTCATGTTAGTCCGGCTACCGCCGCCGCTCGCAAGGAAGGCGTTGTTACCCTTACCTCGACGACTGGTTGCTCGGCGCACTAACACAGCCAGCGAGCCTAGATGCTACTCACACGGTGATAGACATTCTAGTTCGACTGGGGTGGATCATCAACCTCAAGAAATCCGACCTGGTACCCACCCAGGACTTGGTTTTTCTCGGGGTGAGGTTCCAAACACACAAGGATCTCGTTTCCTTGTAAGCCCGACCGGGTCACCAGAGTGCGGGGAGATGGTGTCTTCGTTCCTTTCCCAGCCCCAGGCACCAGCACGGACTTGGCTCCGTCTACTGGGCCATATGGCGGCGGCGACGATCTCTGTAGTGTGGCGGTGGCGGTTGAGGATGCCCTCTACAGCAAGCTTTGGCGAGTCTGTGGGCTCACTCGAGGAGGACCTGGAGCGAGTCTCACAGTCCCCGGGTGGTTGACACCCTCACCTTCAGTGGTGGACCAATGTCGGGGAATCTCACCAGGGGATCCCTTGGAAATCGGACGCCAGCTCTTACAGTTCAGACCGATGCGTCCCTCACGGGCTGGGGGTGTTCTGGGCAGTCTGTCGGTGTCCGGACTCTGGTCCGAAGCGAAGCCCACCTTCACATCAACGTGTTGGAACTGAGAGCTGTCGCGGTTGGTTTTCGAAGCGCTTCGAGAGCATGTCCAGGGCCAGGTGGTTCGTCTTCAGTTGGACAACCAGGCGGCCATGTCGTACATCCTGAAGCAAGGCGGCACGGTGTCCCGGCTCCTCCCGGGAGACATGGGACTTTCTCCTCTGGTGCGACCAGTCGCATTGTCAGGTACTCCCTGTTTATCTCCGGGCTGGAGAACGGGCGAGCAGGCGCTCTCGCCGGATCCTGGCCCCCGCACGTAGTGGATGCTCGACAGGCAGATATTCAGAGTTATCTCCCAGTTGTACGGGTCGCTCCAGGTGGATCTGTTTGCGTCCGGCGGGACGAATCAGACACCCGTGTTCTGCTCTCGAATACCCGGACCTGAGGGCGGCTACTGCCGACGCCTTCCTGCTGGATTGGGACGGGCAAAGTGCTTTCATGCGTTCCCACCGTTACCACTCATTCCCCGTGTCCTTTCACAGCTGTCCACCCAGCCAGCTCGGCTGCTTGTGCTACTGGCACCGCTTTGGCTGTCACAGAGCTGGTTTCCGTAATTCTCAGGTTTCTGGCTCAGCCTCCTGTTCTATTACCTTTACGACGGACATTCTCACTCAGAACGGAGCTTCCCCACCCCAATCCAAGGATTCAGTGGGTGGCTTGGCCTCTGTCAGGTCTAGCCTCGAGGCACGCGGAATTCCTGCAGCAGTTGCAGACACAATTCTGGCTTCGGTAGGGATTCGACAAACGCTCAGTATGAGGATAGGTGGTCCCGCTATGGCGCTGCTGGTGTTCAGATAGGGGATTGCAGATCCCTTTTCTGCGGATTTAGTCCAGTATTGGAGTTTTGCAAGCCCGTTTGGAAGAAGGCCTGGTGGCTTCGACCATTCGTGGCTACTCCACCGCTATTTCCACTTTTCACACCCCTGTCGATGGTGCTCTTCTGGGGCAGCACCCTCTCGTGACAGCTTTTAGCTGGCGCTGATCGGGTTCGACCTGCTGTCAGGCTTAACCAGTCCACCTTGGGATTTGTCAATTGTGCTCGATTGGCTGTCCAGTCCCACTTTCTCACACCTATCAGCTATTTCCATTCAGTTGTTAACTTGGAAGGCTGTTTTTCTGGTGGCGGTAACATCTGGGCTTAGGGTTGGCGATTTACATGCTATGTCGTCCGAACCGGGCGCTGACTGTGCTTCACACTGATCGTGTCAGTATTAAGCCTCCGGATACATGCACCGCACGAAGGTCGATCACGCTTTCCATGTGACAGCTCCTATCGAACTTCCCACTCTTACCCAGCCTTCCACATCGGGGACCTCTGCAACGAGCACTCACCCGTTGGATGTCCGTGAAGACACTCAAGGTCTATATCAAAGCTAACGCAGGGAATCCGTGACGGGTACCCAGCTGTTCTGTTGTTACAGTGGCGGGAAGGCTGGTGTGCGGGCGCAGCAAGCAGACTTTGTCTCGCTGGCTAGTTTCGTGTATTTGTGCCGCTTATCAGGCTAAGGGCAAGCCTCCCCCTGAGGGGTTGAAGGCTCACTCGGTCAGGGCAGTAGCCGCATCAAAAGCTTTTGCATCGGCACTCCCCATTGAAGAGATCTGCTCTGCCGCTATTTGGAGCCGGCCTAGCACGTTTATTCGGCATTATCAGCTCGATACACATTCCCGTAATCGTGCGAGCTTTGGCCGTTCTGTTCTCTCCAGTGGACAGTGTCCTGCCACCCTGACCGAGTGAGTCTTGGTTCATTGGTTTTTGTTGACGCTGCTGGTCAATACTGAGTTTTATTGACATGTCCGCTTCTGGGAGCTAAATAACCTCATTTCGATCCTCTACGGAGTATTTAGGTCGGTTGTGAGCGTTTTGACATTCCCCTCACGGGCTCACTAATTGACACAAGGTGGGTGGGGCTTTGTTTACATTTCGCACCATGTGCGAATTACTATGCGAACCTCTGAGGTCGTCTTTGAGTGCAATCCTCCCTGTCAGTTCTCCTCCCACAATGCCTCTCGCGGAAGCGAAAACTGGGACATGTGACAGGTGAGTGTTATGGCGTCTGTTACATTATTCAATTGACGATAGCTATTTGTATGTGCTTGGACAGAATTCCCTCCTCCCTGGCCTCCGGTCTTTGGGAGTCTGTGTTTATGCATAATATGTACCCCAAGGACGATCTCTATGAAGAAGAATTAACCAAACCTGAAGAGGTTTTCAATTCTTCGAAGAGAGTCGCCCTTGGGTAGGGCCTCCCCTCCCCGCAATTCTGTTCACTGGATTTATTCAGCAGAAGGAATGATGATACGGGCCTAGGTGATTACCCAGTTGGTGCACATGCGTAACGGGAGGTACCTCCACGAGGTGGGGGACGTATAATAAATAAAAAAGTTTATTTATTGTACAATCTTTTTATTCAAAAACATTGATACAACTGTCACAGGACATTTTCAGCGTGGAAAATGCATAATATGTACCCCAAGGACGACTCTCTTCGAAGAATTGAAAACCTCTTCAGGTTTGGTTAAGTTTTAAAGGACAGGGACTCTTTGGCATGGAGTCAGTATACCCTATGTAGGGTATCCACAGTGGCATGGAATCTCGGTGGGCTACCAGTATTATACCGACAATAGTCTGGACTATTGTAAGCAGCATTCTAAGATGCCTAGCGGTTAGAACAATAAAAAAAACCATACATTATCAGGCAATAAAGGTATAGTTTTTTGATGATGTAACAATTTAATGACGTTATCCCGTCACTGCCCCATTCTAGTGTGCCCCCTCATAATCGAACCATTTTACATTACGTCACAATGTAAGCGACATCATGATGCATGTCAGTTGTCATCGCCTCGTACGGCCTCCTACAGTAAACTACTCCGTTGCATCCCGTTTCTTGGTTTGCACTTGCTCCACGCAGCTAACATCACTGGTGGAAACATTACATTTATGTTTTACGACGGTTAAAATGTGTCAATTCGACTCACAAGTTTTCAGCAACACGGTAATGTTCGCAATGTTTACATTCCCACAATGCAATCATGGAATGTCACTTGACTACACAGCTTCATCTGGATGTACTGATCTAAACTTACATTGGTAGTAGAAATGCAACATTCATATTGCCCCATATGGTTTACGTTAATGACAGATGTAATTAAAATAATTCAGAGAAGATATTTAATCCGAACGTAAACCGTCATCAAACTGTTGTCATTTGTTTTTTTCTGGTAACGTTTGTCTTAACGTAGGGGGGCAGACACATCAATAGAACAGCGTGCCAATTAGCCCTGTACGAGGATTCTTAATTTAGGTCACCGACACCATCGTTTGTTTTCTGCCTAAAATTAATCGTAATAATCCTTAGAAAGTATTAAATTTGGCATCTTAGAAAAGAACTACAGTTCGCTCTACCACCATGTATAGTGTAATAAAGCACACTTTCGCGATGAACTATTATAACGTTAAGCACTTGGACGCAAGCGTCCTCGTACTTTAACTATAATAGTTCAGGGCCAAATCACCGTAGTTATGAACTGATATAATTGATATATTTAAGTGTGATCAAAATTAATTATCCAGTGTGATTGTATGTCAGTTTAGTGTAATGTGACATTCATGTGTACAGTTACTGAGTGCGTGGGGAGCGGACGTTACGACGACGTGCAGTACGGATGCTGTCGAGTTTGTTACAAGTCTGGGAGCCAATACTGTCATCGACTACAAGACACAGGATGTAGAAGCAGAACTGCAGAAACTTGACAAGTAGATCTCGTTTGCATTTTTCAACCTCTTTAAAGATCCAGATTAGAATTTGTATTCATACATTATTGAAATTAATACTCAATGTGCTTGGCACCTGTAGATCATGTATCCCCGGGCTGGTTATAGGTTTGTGGGATATCTGTCTCTTCAAACACAGAAGTCCATCAGTGGGTCCACAACACTTTATTTGTCAGCTAAGTATGCAGTTACATGATAGTGCAACGGCCAGGCAGCATCACTATTCCCTGATAAACCCATACCCCATCAAAGTGCCTACGATACATGTGAACATGCGACTCGTAGCTTTTATGACATTGCATTTTAGTATGCTACGATGACCTGTTTGTTGGAAAAATTGTCTTCTCTCAATCAATACAAGAGTTACCTTTGTTTGTGTTTCAGATTCGACTTAGTGTTGGACACTCTTGGAGGGGAGACACCAAACTTCTCCTTCGATCTGTTGACCAAATATAGAAATGCCAAATACGTCTCCATAGTGACGCCGTTACTGAGAAATGCAGATTCATATGGTTTGGTTAAAGGCTCTGTCAAGACTGCAGTTGATCTCCTCAAGGATGTGGCCGGGGTATGTTTAATACAGACAGCTAAAGTATGTCTATTTAAAAATACATGATTACACAATGCCATTTAGAAAGTGGTCAAATGTAACATATGTTTATATTTGGGATTACACTTTCTTAGTAAAGTACAGATTCTAGTACTTTTGTTTGGTTGAGTCCCATCCGGGATTCGAACCCACACCTTCAGAGTCAGACACCTTATCGCCAGCACACAAAGTCAGCTGTCTTAACCGCTCAGCCACCGCATCTTCAGCCACCACGGATGGGACTCTTCAACAATCCAAGATGGACTCAACCCAACAAAAGTACTAGAATCTGTACTTTACTAAGAAAGTGTAATCCCAAATATACACATATGTTAAAAAATACATGTGTTTTACTGGCTGGAGGAACTATTTCAATATTACATGTGTTTTACTGGCTGGAGGAACTATTTCAATATTACATGTGTTTTACTGGCTGGAGGAACTATTTCAATATTACATGTGTTTTACTGGCTGGAGGAACTATTTCAATATTACATGTGTTTTACTGGCTGGAGGAGCTATTACAATATTACATGTGTTTTACTGGCTGGAGGAACTATTTCAATATTACATGTGTTTTACTGGCTGGAGGAACTATTTCAATATTACATGTGTTTTACTGGCTGGAGGAAGCTATTTCAATATTACATGTGTTTTACTGGCTGGAGGAACTATTTCAATATTACATGTGTTTTACTGGCTGGAGGAACTATTTCAATATGGCTACATTTGTGTGTTTTACTGGCTGGAGGAACTATTTCAATATTACATGTGTTTTACTGGCTGGAGGAACTATTTCAATATTACATGTGTTTTACTGGCTGGAGGAACTATTTCAATATTACATGTGTTTTACTGGCTGGAGGAACTATTACAATATTACATGTGTTTTACTGGCTGGAGGAGCTATTTCAATATTACATGTGTTTTACTGGCTGGAGGAACTATTTCAATATTACATGTGTTTTACTGGCTGGAGGAACTATTTCAATATTACATGTGTTTTACTGTGGAGGTTTTACATGGCTGGCTGGAGGAACTATTTCAATATTACATGTGTTTTACTGGCTGGAGGAACTATTTCAATATTACATGTGTTTTACTGGCTGGCTGGAGGAACTATTTCAATATTACATGTGTATTTCCCTTACAGGGCATCAAACATCTCCGAAGCTATCGCTGGGCTGTGTTTGTACCCAATGGTCGTGCTCTAAAAAAAGTGGCCAAGATGGTGGACAACTCTGATGTAGGTTGACCTGGTCATTCTCTGTCGTGTTCTGTGTAGCCTGTTTATGTGTATTGGGGTTTGAATTCCATACTGGCTCTGATAACAATTCTGGAAATGTCAGGACTATGCATGCATTTGGGGTATTCATAGGTGTAACAATGTCCTAATGATAAATGTTGAAATACTGTTGTAGCTGAGATATGGTTATAAATGGGACACTTTTATAATGAGACAGTTATCAATGACACATTTTTAACAGACACATTGACTTGATATACAGTTAATCCACGGACACTGATCATACAGCATATTTACAATTTCGTAACTGAGCCACTTATAATGGCAACATATACATTATTACTCTTGTACAAATAGACAGTTAGGTTTACATGGCAGGATGGTTTGCATGGAAGATTTTAGTCAGTATATGACAAAATGTAAAGAGTTAAGTTAAAACACTTATTTTTGTACAGTTAAACATTTCTGATAATTAGAACACATTGTATTTTAACAAATGAGTTTGGGATACATGCTTTCTGATGATGTTTGAAGAAAGGGCCGAGAAACATTTAATAAATTCAGTGCCAACATCGCACGTTGTCAAAGCCCCAGGTTCATTCTCAAACATGCCTAGTGTCTTCAACCATGATATTATTGGAATATTGCTAATGGTAGGCAAAAACACAAATTTTAAACTGTTATGATATAATATTTTGAGTGAGTGAGTGAGTATGGTTTTACGCCAGTTTTAACAATATTCCATCGATGTGATTATCACAGCTAGGGACACCAGAAATGGGCTTCAAACATTGTACCCATGTGGGGAATCGAACTCAGATCTTCAGCCTGATGAAGGGACACTTTAGCCATAAGGCTACCCCACTGCCCCCTATAATATTTGAGCATCACTGAATGTTTGTTTTGTTGCAGATCAAGCCTGTGGTAGAAAAGGTGTTTCAGTTTGAAGAAGTTCCAAATGCTTTTGACAAGCTAGCTGCTGGTCACTCTAGAGGAAAAACTGTGATTAAGGTTATCTGAACACCACTATGAGAGTGATCTCCCTTGAAACCCAAAAGCATTGTGATCAAAACCTAAAGAAGTTTTGTTTTCTGCATGTTGAAACTTTAATTAAATTTACAACTAGTGAATACAATGGAACTATTGATTCAATTAGTTACCCATAATTTGGAATTATGTTAAAAAATAATAAGTTGTGAGGCATATATACTTTATCTATTTTGTGATGGCATGATAGATTTAACATGAAGTAAAGTGCTGACTAAAGACTGGTTATTATTGGATGTTGTGTCTCATGGTAGTGAGTGATTGAGTTAGCTATATTTACAGAACAGTATTGCAGTTAGAAAGGTGAGAATGTTCACAAAGGATCGTGATGGTAAATCTAGGATTGATAGATCCTGGTACAATAAAGGGGGGTAAATCTGCACCACTTATTGTGGTGCCATTGGTCCCAGGGACACCAATCCCCACACAAACTACATGTAGACCACCACTTGCCATTAGTAAGTTGACATTTTGACCATCTGCAGTTTGCTGAATGTGTCTTGTACACTTCAAACTGTGATGTGGTTTCAACACATCCAGCCTCGAACTGTGGACAGGCAGCTCAAACAGTGATAGAAACATAGTCTTGAATAGTGATGGAGAGAGACTGATCTTCAATCCATGATCTAGCCTCATACAGCTATGGACATCTAGCCATGAAAAGTTGTAGACAGTTAGTTTCAAACAGTGATGGAGAGAGACCGATCTTCAAACCATGATCTAGCCTCATACTGCTATGGACATCTAGCCATGAAAAGTTGTAGACAGTTAGTTTCAAACAGTGATGGAGAGAGACTGATCTTCAAACCATGATCTAGCCTCATACTGCTATGGACATCTAGCCATGAAAAGTTGTAGACAGTTAGTTTCAAACAGTGATGGAGAGAGACCGATCTTCAAACCATGACCTTGCCTCATACTCTTATGGACATCTAGCTATGAAAAGTTATGGACAGTTAGTCTCCAATAGTGAAGGAAACAAAGCCTAAAACAGATTTGAACACACAATCTCAAACAGTGATGGATACCAACCTTCAAACCGTGACGAAGATCTAACTTCATACTGTTATGGACACCAAGCCTCAAACAGTGATGGAGAGAGAGGGACACAAATGAAGAAGAAAACATAGCCTCAAACATGACCGCAAATTGTGATGGAGATTGATCTTCAAATCGTGATGGAGATTGATCTTCAAATCATGATGGAGATTGATCTTCAAATCGTGATGGAGATCCAACCTCCTACATTTATGGACATCTATCTTCAAACAAAGATGAAGACCTTGACTCAAACATTGATTAAGACCTGTTACATGCATGTTCAATTTTCCCAGTAACTATGGTACGGTCATTGATGAATCATATCCTCACAGATCACTTTCGCCAGTAAATGGTATTTGGTTATTTCTTTCCACATATAAAATAATCTCAAAAAGAAAAATACGTTTTGATTATACCTGTATATCTCAGGACCTGAGGTCATTCAACTATGCAATATCTCTTATATTCAACTATATTTGTATATGAAGATGATGATAGATCAATGAATTCATACATGAAATGTACATATATGAAACATGTTCAAGGTAAAATCTTGCTTGTGTTAACTTGTCAGGGTATTTCATTGATATGCTGTTACAATGCAAATAAAAATACACTTTAATTTACATTGTTAATTTCCATTTGTTAGATATGTTGGTAATAATTCAGTGCAAACAGCCTCAAGAAACAGATTCCAACCATTGTTGTAGTCGGGTGTAACACAGCCACTGGCTCCATGGCCCATCAGCAGCTTTCTGTGGCCACCATTACACTGACAGGTGTGATGGGAAATGAGTCCTACATGGCCTATATCACAGTTCTCCTGTGTCAGTATTGGACTTTATCACTGTCATGCTCACATCCTGTGAGTGAGTTGGGTTTTACGCCACTTTTAGCAATATTCCAGCAATGTCATGGCAGGGGAACACCAGAAATGGGTTTCACACATTGTACCCATGTGGGGGAATCGAACCGGGTCTTTGGCATGACAAGCAAACGCTTTAACCACTAGGCTACCCCACCACTCTCACATCCTGTGAATTGCATAGCAAACTCTTCAGCTTCTGGCTTACCTTTATGTCTGATAAGACTCCTTGTTGAGAATTTTGGAGGATACTGGAAAATTCCCTCAAACACAACAGTGGATGAAATACACAATGCCATTTAGAAAGTGGTCAAATGTAACATATGTTATATTTGGGATTACACTATCTTAGTAAAGTACAGATTCTAGTACTTTTGGGGGGTTGAGACCACTCCGGGATTCGAACCCACACCCTCAGAGTCAGGCACCTAATCGCCAGCACACAAAGTCAGACGCCCAGACCGCTCAGCCACCGCGGCTTCCAAAAAATTGGAAGTCAGACAACTGGTAGTCTAGACTGCGGACTTTGTGTACCCCTCTGATAAGTGTTAATTGGCACAGCTCCAACGGCCGCAAACTATGAATACACAATGCCATTTAGAAAGTGGTCAAATGTAACATATGTTATATTTTGGATTACACTTTCTTAGTAAGAACGTGTAATCCCAAATATAACATGTGTTACAACAGAGCATCTAGTCTAGGCTTGAGTTGAAACACTGTTCAAACTATCAACCACTGGTTTACCTGGTCCAGACTTGACCAAGTCCTGACTCCAGTCTATGGTGATACTGTGTGAGCATTACCAAATGCTGTGTAACTTTCACTGTTCACCCTGCTTTCCATATTTGTGTTCTCAAGACCTTGCATAGTATCCAAATATCTTACAATTACTTCTTCACACCTCATGGGGGTAGCCTTGTGGTTAAAGCAATTGCTTATCACGCCAAAGATCCGGGTTCAGTTCCAGCATGGTTACAGTATGTGATGCCCATATCTGGTGTCCCCCTGCCATGACATTGCTATAATATTGCCCAAAGTGACATAAAACCAAACTCACTCACTCACACCCATCACTCGCGAGCATGGGTGGCCACCACCATCAACTAATTTCCAGAGTTCTTGTCGGAATCCAAGTATGCCCTGATCATGTCCAAACACTTAATAGAAAGCCAGTGATATGGGATCTATCTGTGTCTGTTCAGAGTACATGAAGTACTGGATGATGGTGAGCCTCCAAGCCAGTACCAGAACATCAAACATATATTGCATTAGACTAGAGTGCAGTGAAACAGGGTTTAACACATTGTTGACCAGTCCTAGTGTTTTTTCTCCTTATTCAGTAAGGCAGAGTAAGAATAGGTACGATCATGTTTTGATTTGATGTGACCAAGGTTTGAACCTCCAACCCTTTGCACCCTAGGCAGAACCTTATCCACTACACCAGTCTGTTACATCATGGCATTGAAAAGATGATGAAGCAGGTAAACATTCTAAACTCCAAATGTAATCCATGATCTTTTTGTACAAGGGATCATGACTTTGGGAGTTCCTGAAATTTTAGTTCATACTGTCAGACTATAGTGCTCATGACCTCTACAATTAGCTTGATATCAGCAGAAATCCACATAAAGACAATTTCTTTTTTTTGGTTCATCAGTAACTTCAGTGTCACGTCTCCTTCCCTGAAAAAAACAACTTTGAAGATCCTGGTTAGAATCGGTCTTCAGCACCCCATGCTTGTCGCAAGACGCGACTAATGGGATCAGGTGGTCAGAGTTGCTGACTGGGTTGACACGTCATCATATCAATACTGCGTAGATCGATGCTCATGCTATTGATCATTGGATTGTCTGGTCCAGGCTTGATTATTTATAGACTGCTGCCACATAGTTGGACTATTGCTGAGTGCAGCGTTAAACAACAAACAACACACTCTGTCTCTGTCTCTGAAAAAGCTGTCACATTCAACCTTGAAAGAATCGGACATTCAGAAAACTAAAGCTGACAACTGATTTATGTTATCTCTCGTTTATTGTACAAAACTTCTACACTGTACACAACCAGACAATAATGAATATGGTCTACATACGTTCAAACATGTTGATGGTTGCTATGGCAGTGGTAATATGGTCAATGGGAATACATGTATATGACAATGAAGTTTCTGGGAAACATTAACACCTTTTCACTCTCTTTCAAATGAGCCAAATTAAGCCAATGAACTTTTCAATTTAAAACAATTTGACCAGCAAATTTGTTGCCATTAAAAACAATCTGTACAAGTTAACAATAAATAGTAGTTAACATTTGATTCATCTCAATTCATTGTTCTTTTTTTTTTTTTTTTTAACTTTATGGGAAGATTTACAATATAGCAATGGACATTTGAAATGAGACGAAAAAATCATAAAATCAATTTTTACATAAAAGAAATCACTATATAGTTTACAAATTACACTAAATTCTGTTAGCATAACAATAGCAACTTACAAATGAACAAATACTATCATGAAGACCAAACTGGTAACATAACCACACACAAATATGTCAACCTCATACAAAGTACTGTGGTTCTATTGCTGTACAATGGTACTTAATATAAACTTATTGATACTATACAATGTATTACTTGATGCGGACATCTTGACAGTGGTAATGTATATTATACATAGACATCCATCAAATAACTGATCCATTTCACATTTACAACTTTCTCAACTAAAATATAATTATTTGCTTGCATGTCTGAACACATTTTGTTAAGAAATGTACAGGAAATTTGATAAGGACTGTTCAGCTAATTGTATCATTAACTCAATGAAGCAATAACAAAATAATGTAGAAAAGGCAGAATATTTTCTTTTGTATTGTATTTCTTTCACAAAAATGTCCTCAAACTATGGAGTGACAAATCACTGATGTACTGACTGACTGAGTTTGGTTTTACGCCGCTTTTTGCAATATTCCAGCAACATCACGGCGGGGGACACCAGAAATGGGCTTCACACAATGTACCCATGTGGGGATTCGAACCCGGGTCTTCGGCGTGACGAGCCAACGCTTTAACCACTAGGCTACCCCACCGGCCAAATCACTGATGTAATAATATGGGGTGCTGATCCAACAGACAAGAACAAGGTCAATGTTTAAAGTCAGTAATCAATTGCGGTAACTGTTTACAACATTTAGAATCCTACCTGAGCTCTGTTTCACAAAGTGATTACAACCCTATGACTCTTATAAGTCAATGTTAAAGTATGGGAGTTTTGATAGCCTTAGCACGATGACTACTTGTGGATGGGGCCAAGAATGGAAACAAGTTTTGTAGTACATTTAACCATATCTCTTAATCTTTGACCACAAACTTTAATGTTTCATAATACTTGCTCCAGACTTCATCTGAAGAGAACCACTGAGGCTGTAGACTATAAAGTACATTCAAAGTAGCAATTCAAAAGAACACCATAAACAGGTAAAGTGCTCAATACATGCAAGAAAACACAGTGCTTGACTTTCTAGAAGATACTTTTCAGCTGTCTGGATTTCCCCTTGTGTAGTACTGACCCGAAATGATAGAAGTAAGTCTACACTGATGAAGTATGCAATGAGTACATGCAGTCTCTTTAATAGAAAAATAAACATCTCTCTATCTTAAGGGCAATTGTTTACAAAGGCAAGGCAAACTTTGTACACACATCTCTGAACAAAACATGTCCAGTTTTCTATGATTAAACTATGCTAATCAGAGGATCTTGGCTTTCAATAATTTCGGTAGATGACAAGTGCCACATCCTAAGTGTACACTGATCATTTGGCACTATTGTTTCATAAAACATTAATGGTATATGGAAGGCTAAAAATACTACTTTATTAAAATATTCTTATAAATTGTTACTTTTCTCCAGGTTTCAAATGGGCAACTATTCAGGACATATACTTCAGCCATTTGGCAATAACTAAATCACTATTGCTATATACAGTTTGAGAAGTAAATCTACCGTCCCGTTATGTGAAACACATAAAACAATTCCCAGACTTAAAACAGCCCTGCTTGTTAATAACTTAAGACATAAAAATCTATCAATATTTTCTCAATGGATACTCATACATCCTCTGTTTGCTGCCATTTTCATTCATAACATTTCCCTTTGGTTTCTTCAAAATTTCAGACTAACAAACAAGTTCCATACTAAAATGTGCAATAAGGAGAGTGTTTTCAAATGACGAGATGGTTTGTGGCCAGCAACTCAGTCATAAAGGGCTGCATTACAAAAAAAAAGAATGAACAACGAATGTAATACTTTCATATTCCACTAAAATTCATTTAGTAAACAATGAAACAGGTAGGGTGGATAGTCAGTCTTTTAGCTTACAAAATATGCAAAATTTGTATGAACAGGCAGGTCTGTTATAATTGTGTTTGAACTGAACCAGGGCGACGATCCAAAACGCAAAGTATCTGACATCTGTCTCTATAGTAAAAACATGTCCACTAAAATCTAGTGTTATAAACTAACAATGATATAAATAAAATGTTATATACAGTTTCTGTACATAGTGAAAGTAACTGCTGACTGACCGCCATGACGATCCCTGCTAAACAGCAGTTGTGAACTGTCCTGACTCTTACTGATATGTGAGTAAGATGATGTGAAACGAAGGGACGTGAAAACACTCCCATGACATAAATTATCAAACACTTTATCTATTTCAATGCTGATTATTAACTGCTAAAACAAATATCAGTGATCAAAATAATTTTCTGTTAAATAAATCCCTCTTAAAGTCTTCTGGAAGCTATTAAGTGGCCACAGTGTCATACTAATAATGTTTTTGGCAACAACACAAATAGTACATAGATGACAAATGATCAATGACAAATTGCACCATGGTAAAAAAAAAAAAAAAAAAAAAAAAGAAACAAGAAGAAGAAATTGGCAACACTGGACACAATGCCAAAGCTACTTTGAAGTGAATTGTTAACAAACTCAAATGTTGCAAGTCTATGAAAACAGACTACCTCACCATGAGTTGGCATTAAAAAGCCATGGCTAACATAATCTTATAGAAATAGTGAGTGAGTGAGTGAGTGGTATGGTTTTACACCGCTTTTAGTAATATTCCAGCAATATCATGCCAGGGGACACCAGAAATGGTCTTCACACATTGTACTCATGTGGGTAATCGACCCTGGATCTTCGGTGTGACCAGCGATTGCTTTTACCACTAGACTACCCCACCACCCCTCTGAACTGAGGACCCAATACAGATCTGTGATCAAACTGAAGAACACCGCTACACTATACCCGTAACATTCAAGCCAAAGATCACTAATTCTTCCTTCAGATATACCCAGAGATATCAGGATTTTCAGCTACCATGTGGTGTGTGATTATTGACAAGTTCTAGGTCAACAGCATTATAAATAAAACATCTGTTCTATAAATTTGTACTAGTAATGTACATTCAACGCTTCCGACCTAGTTCAAATAGTCATTGTTTAACCGACCCTTTACTGTCACATTAGGGGTTCCAATTTTTGTCCTGACTAAACTTGTCCTGACTAATTTTCCACTTGCCCAGATTTTATGAAATAATCATGATGATGTAATTATGAAAGAATAAATCAACATGGTATTTGATGTTAATGTTTACTGGACTATTTATTGAAAAGTGATCAATAGCAAAGAAAAATAACTCTCCTTTATTATCATTGCGAAATCCAACAGCTACATTTTGAGCAGATATGAAATTAAATCCAAGTTTATTTGCAGTTTGAAACCATGTGGAAGTGGAAATTATCAAGTAGTCCACGGACAAGTAAAATACCATTATTTGATTGCCCGAAATGAAAAGTGACTTGTCCCGGTGTCAGGCAATGCGATTTTTGAACCCCTGCACATGAATGAAAAACCGTCCCTGTGTGTTCAAAACTTAATGAAAATAAGTAAAATGTATAGTTCCTGAAAACTGCAGCAATGTTGTCATTACTGTAAGTAACATTCCTTGTCGGGATACCTTATTGTCACTTCATAAACATAAGCACACATGCTTAATAATAATCCGATTGTTTTTGTGATTCCGTTCCAAGTAGCATGGACTTCAAATGCACTTTATGAGATACTCTATGTGATGAATTCAGGAGACTTGTTTCTACTTTGGTCAGTGGGTGGAATGAATGAAACCAGAACTATATATAACCACTTCTAACTGCGTACATAACTAACTGCTGTGACACATAACCTTCCGATTTTCACTTAAGGGTGAATAAGACCCAAATACCCGGTGGTATATGCATTTGTAAATACATCTCTGTATTAAGTGGAGATATTCAGCTGAATTTGAATTACACACAGGCCAAAATAAAATAGTTCAAGAGGTATATTTTGATTGGAATATTTTGGAACTAACAAATGCTTAGTAAGAAAATTAACCCTTCAGTAATTCTTCAACTGACCAAGCAAAAAGTGTTCTAAAGATGATGTAATTTTTAAATAAAATTGATATTTTATACTAATCCTGACTCATGATCTTTGCTTATCTCCCTTTCCCTTTCGAATGGTAGTGGAACACTTGAATCCCTTGAAGTTCCCGAGGCGGATATATAAATACTCACCCACGAGTTACCTCCCTTGCCCTGTCCCGCGCAAACGTACCATGTGACGTGCCCATACTTGTCACTCTCTCCTTATTTCCGCCCATGAGTCATGAGTCAGGATAAGGAAAAATAACAAAATTTGTTTAAAACCTACCGTTAGTGCTTGGATGGCCAAATGAGGTCCTCGGGTTGGTCCATTAGCAAGGAATCACTACACTACCTCGAACTGAGGTCTGATACATTGTTGAAAAACAATACCAATTAAGGTCCAGAGTTAACTTTAAATACATCCTTACAAACCTATATCAGGTGACATCACCCTATCCCGATGCTAACCTCGACCAAGAGTCTGAGGAACCAAAACCACTTGAGCACACAGACCAAGACAATGACTTCCTCGCCGATGGAAACATCTATTGCTTTGTGTAGTGAATTTGAACCCTGACCAAACATTACAACACCTGGTGTCCAACAAAGGCCGGCTGTACGAAGGCTGTCAAACATTTGAGATCATGCAAAACTGGATGAAGGATAAAGAATTAAGTATAACATCCTCCAGTTTAAGTCAATGTCCACTGCCATCATTGGGCTGTGACTAATGTATTGAAGGCCTAAGTTACAGTACAGGGCCTTGTTTCAAAAAGCTCTCATAGAGCTACGACTGCCGTAAGTCAACAGTTATAGTATAGGAGGCACGAGGCTACGAGAAAAGTTACGAGATCTTAGGCTTATGAGAGCTTTGTGAAACGGGACCCAGAAGTTTAAATAATAACAGTACTTCAGTACTGACTTTATGAGAGAGTGTTGTAGATACTAAGGGGGATTCCTGGGGACCTCAAGTCCTCTGCAATAAGAAGTGACCACACCCTTAAACTTTATAATGAATATTAGGATTCTGAAAGGAACTGTTGACTAATCTATGATCTTAAACATGTCATGTCTTTTCTCAAAGAAAAAAAGATTCAGGTAGGAAGCATCCTAAAAGGTGAAAGAAAGGTCAAGGTTAATGCCAATGTTTGTCATAATCATAGCGTCCCTACATCCTACATGTGCATGCAACAGCAGTGTACTATCAGTCCCACATTTCATCATTAATATCAACAAGCTGCCTGTCTCCCCAAGAATCTTCAAGCTGTAGCCAAAATAGATTCCAGTAACTCTTAAAACCATACATCACAGCTGCCACATGTAAACCAAACCAGGAAATAATGCCAAAGGATTTCTTGCGTAAAAAGTACAAGTCCCTAATCTATGTTGAAGGTTGAGCTTTGGACCTGTCATTGTTCACTGACCACTTCTTTGGAACTAATGGGGTGATACGGTTACAAACTTAACCATCAATGGATAAATGGAAGCCATTTTTAATGGTTGCTAGGTATGTCATGAAACTTCTACAATCGTCGCACAAACGGCCTATCGATAGAGATGTATAATGTCCCTGATAAAATGAGTTAAAATTGAACTAATTAATGAATGAATGTAACAAATATTGTCGCCGTGAAAAATAATACAAAATATAGAAATAAGTATAACAGGACTAAGATCATGAAATAAAAGGGTTGACATAAAAGTAGAATTGGTTAGCAGAAAAAGAATGTACACTACGACACGTTTTAGCCAACTTCTTAATTAGTATCATAACAACATGAGTTGGCAAGACATAATGTAAGCATAAAACTCAGTTCATTAAATATATGTTACATTCATAGAAAACTAAAGTAATCTGCTACTTTACAAAGGTCACACAGAGGTATTCAGTAATGTCTAAAACAGATACTATCCTCATAAATGAGGACTCTCTGCAATGACTGTCTTCTTGTTGTTTTTTTGTAAGGCTGAAACTTGACGCATTAATTCACGGTTCCTGACCTGAAAAGCAAAGCAAAGGAGAGTTAGTAATTTATCTTTTGTAAAATCACGAAGAAAAGAACAATGCTCCTGGTTTAGAAGAGTGAGTGAGTGAGTGAGTGAGGATGGTTTTACACCGCTTTTAGCAATATTCCAGCAATATCATGGCAGGTGACACCAGAAATGGGCTTTACACATTGTACCCATGTGGGGAATCAACGAGAAAACGCTCTTACATTGAGTACATTCATGGCACTTTAGAAAATCTGTGAACAAAACCATCATTTAGCGATATATCAAGATATCTAAAGAAATCCTGTGATTTCCATTCACAGAAAGTATTAATACTTACCTGTAAAGTATCTATTGTGTCAGAACTTTGTTTTTGTAGAGTATTCAGTTTTGTTCTTGAATCTTTTTCAAATTCCCATTTTTCTGCTTTAAGTTCATTAATCTGGAAGAAAAGGCAAACAGTTAGAAACCCACTGGACCATATGTTGAAGCAACAAACAACATATGACATCACGAATAGACAACATAAAAAATTCAAAAGAAACAGTGGGCACACTTTCAGATCAATTTCACAAAGTTCAGGTATCTATATTTACTACTTTTTATTTTCTGGTCACATACAAGATGCCTGAAATGACTGGTGTCTGCATAATCACCCAATGTAGGCTGTCGACATAATTGAAAACATTGGGTGCAATGTTTTATGAGATATCGCGTTTAAATAAGTTTGAAAAGTGGTCAGACTCCTGACTCAAAGTGCCGTGGTGACCTTGAAAATAAGGTCAAGGTCACCCAAATAAACTGGTGTCTGCGTAATCCCCCAATGTAGGCTGTCACCAAATTTGAAGACATTGGATACAACAGTTCATGAGATATCGCGTTAACAAGAGTTTGAAAAGTGGTCAAAGTGTCGTGGTCACCTTGAAAATACGGTCAAGGTCACAAACGATTTTGGAACTGCTGTAATAGAGTTTGAAATACTTGATGATGGAACATATCTAGGACGTTGTCAGGGCCGGAAAACGTGTTTAATTCTTAGAAAACTCCCTTCACTTTCTGAAAAGTCATGACTGAATATTTCTTGAAGAATCTGGGAAGTTTATGTTACACTGGAACTAAATCATTTTACACTGGATGTGAAATTTGCAAATGTAATTTGTGCAGATTCTAAATACAGTGGAAACCGCCTAAGTAAAGACCGCTTAACTAAACAGACCTGATAAGTAAACACTTTTCTTTGGTCCCGGCAACTTTCTTCATTAATTAACACTATTAGAGTCTGGTTAACTAAACTCGGATAAGTAAACAATACCGCTTAACTAAACGTCTTCTCACGGTCCCTGGAAGTAAATTACTTAACAAAAGAGACTGGATAACTAAATTAGCGATCACCACATAATCCGACATGAGGGGCAGTCGTGTCAGTCTCCAGTCAAACAAACATCCTGTTTACAGCTCGCTGGCGTCAAGCAGTTGACAATACACTGACAACTGGAGGCCATCCCTGATAAGTTGTTCATTGTTACATATGCATACATATACATGCATATGGTTGTCATTTGCAGGTTTTTATAAGTTTGGATAAGTAAAATACCTGATAAGTAAACAATTTTTGGCGAGTCCCTTGACATTTTACTTATCAGGTTTCCACTGTAAAACAAAAACAACAGAGAACCAAATGTTTTTTTATTTATACTTATCTGCAACTACAACCTGAATAGGAAAATCTAAAAAATGATGCTAACCAATTGTTTTCGATGATTGGTCGTTGGTATTGAACCAATCATCAATTGTGAGATTTCAACCGATTCCTAACACTAGTTAACAAGAGTTTGAAAAGTGATCAAAGTGTTGTGGTGACCTTGAAAATAAGGTCTAGGTCACCCAAATCAACTGGTGTCTGCGTAATCCCCTAATGTAGGCTGTCACCAAATTTGAAGGCATTGGGTACAACAGTTCATCAGATATGGCATTAACAAGAGTTTGAAAAGTGATCAGTCGTGGTCACCTTGAAAATAAGGTCAAGGCTACCCAAATAAACTGGTGTCTGCGTAATCCCCCAATGTAGGCCGTCACCAAATTTGAAGACATTGGGCACAACAGTCCATGAGACATTGCGTTAACAAGAATCGGGACGTACGTACATACGTACGTACGGACGCTGAATACCTAGTCCCCCATTCCGCGTTGCGGCGAAGGACAACAACTAAAGGCACATGTATCCATCTTTGATGAAAGTACAAAGTTATACATGTATTACTGACAAACCAGGGATCTCAAGAGTTAAATCTCTCCGGCAAAAGAACTGAAACAAACTGGTGGTACAGCAACTTTCAAACTATCAAATCCTAGACCTACAGTTAAAAGTGAGTTAAGTTTTATGTCGCTTTTAGCAATATTCCAGCAATATTACAGCAGACACCAGAAATGGGCTTCACACATTGTACCTATGTGGGGAATCGAAACTTAGGTCCTCATCATAATGAATGAACACTCTAACCAATAGGCTACTCCACTGCCCACCCCCTACAGTTAGGACTACTGGCCATGAAAATATTAGAATGAAAACACATGTTACCTTTTTATCCTTCTCTTTGAGCTGTTGGTCTTTGCCTTGCAGCTGCTTCTTAAGAGATTCCAGCTGTTCTCGAAGCTGTGTAATGGCAATCATCTGATCTGAGGACCCGATGTCCATAGTAGCTGCTGTGTCTGTTATACTGCTGCTGGTACTGCAACAACAAGCCGTCAAGATTCGTTTTAGAATTGGTATTAAGCAACCCATGCTTGTCATAAGAGGCAGGCTTGCTGACTTGGTTGATGCATGTCATATTTCAGTTGAGTAGATTGATGCTCATGCTGTTGATCACTGGATTGTCTGGTCCAGACTTTATTTACAGACCACCATCATATAGCAGAAATACTGCTGAGAGTGGTGCTAAACAGAACTAAAAACTGCAACATCTCACAATGTAGTGTCTACATGCTCGGATTTGTTTGTTAGCATTGCAGTCAGCAAAATTCCAGCTACATCACTGCAACATGTATATAATCTTACCTAAGACAGGTAAATCAGAGTCTGATAGCATGATTAATGCCCATAGCTGATGCCAACCGAACAACCAAACAATGTCTCAACCCATTGGATCTCTGATCTCTTTAACAAGGAGTTCCTGGATATCCAGTCGTGCCAAGAACTTCTCAGTCATCAAGCTCAAACTTGGCTATTCATCTCATTTTCTTCCTATTTTGATCTTGTCAGTGTACTATTACTAGTTGACTATTACTTGACTGAACAGAACTAGACCTGTAATTGGCCCAGAGAATACATCTAGTATGAAGTACATAATATATATAGCATACAGTGTCTCCTTGGACAAGTGACTTTGTATGATTCAGTTCCACCTGGTGGTTCCATATAACCTTTCATCAAAAGCATGTGTCTCCGGATCAGTTACTTGAGACAACACTGTTGCAACAGTAGGGAGGGAGATACTGTTTTGGACTACTATTTGTCAAAGTAGCATACTGTATTGAAGGTATTTACAGCTTTCTGTGCTGTCCTGTACACCTACCTTTTAGGAGTAGATACGCCATTTGAGGAATTCTTTTCTGTTCTTGCTTTCTTGTTTGGACTAGTGGGAGATGAAGCGTCTTCTGACCTTGAAATGCAAAGTACACAAAATAAGTGTCACCTCATTATGTTCATGTGAAAGAACTGAAGACCTCCAAAACGTTAGGCCCAAATCACCTCCCCTTACAGCTCCAAACGTCATTTGGGCAAACTATTACGATATGGATATTAAAAAAAAAAATCACAAAAATATTTGAAAATAGAATTACAAGTAAACAGTATAACACTGACAAAAGCTTTTGACATTATAAACACTCAACAAGAGACAGACATACAATTACAAGAATTCTTCACGTTTGTACTGTAACAATCTGAGTACAATTTAGTTCATGAAAATCATTATGACCACCTCCCAGTCTTGACTCAGATTCCATTCCAATTACACGACATCATGGTTGACACCAAGAATGGGTGTCACACATTGTACCCATGTCTTTGGTTTGACATGATATTAACTTTAACCAATATGCTATTCCATCTCTGTTAGCCCTTCAAAAACAACTCACTTATGTTTTGAGTGATGTGATTTTGACTTGCTGCTCTTGCTGTGTGACTTGTCTCGTTTGTCGTGATGTCGAGCATGTTTGTGCCTGTCCTTCTTCTCACTGCTCCGACTACGGCTCTCTTCCTTACTGTTGCTATGGTGGTTGTTGCTTCCACCGCCCCCACCACTACCACTAGAACCTGTCTTTGTGGGGGTCTTATCTAGATCAATGCCACTCAGTTTAAACAAACGGTTAATGCTCCAATGTTTCTCAAGTCGAGATTCTGCTTCATTCAGTCGACTCTCGCTCTGACTGACTTTACTCTCCAGCTTGGCCAGTAAATTGTCTGGCTGACTGTCAGTACTGGCTCGATTTGCTCCACTGGCAATTTTCTGGGCATCATGCTCTCGATGCCTTTTGGCTTTGGCTAATACACGTTTATATGCCAAAGTACATAACCAGCAGAGGAGCTTGCCATCAACCTGTAAAATTACAACCAGTAAGAAAAATGTGTATTTATTCGACCATCTGATGAATTGGAACATGCATCATGTATATGGTGAAACATTTACCAAAGTTTGGAGAACTCCCACGAATACAACAAAATTTAATAAAATCAAGTGAGTGAGTATGGTCTTGTGCCGCTTTTAGCAATATTCCAGCAATATCATGGCGGGGGACACCAGAAATGGGCTCACACTTTGTACCCATGTGGGGAATCGAACCCAGGTCTTCGGTGTGACAAACCAACACTTTAACCACTAGGCTACCCCACCGCCCCTGCCAAAAATGAAGCTAACTGACATCGGCCCTAAATAGATGCTGCAAAAGGATATCAGTTTCATGCCACAGAATTGGTCATTCCAGAATCATGTCCTGTTACAGCACTGGCCCAATATAAAACGTAAATATATTATCATCATTATTATTATCATTGATGTTGTTATGATGATGCTGGTAGTAGACAAATTCAGCCTACAAGCAGTTATTCTGTCGTTATTTTAATTGGGTTTCATAATGATCCCCATCATCAGGGTACAATGACACCAAATCTTGTTACATAGCCCTTCTGTCCTTAGCCATGAACATGGGGCACTTAGGATCTCCGCTGATAAAACTAATTCAAACACACATCATTATCAAGAGTAAATCACATAATGGTCCATCGCAAACTGTGATAGTAGTACCTTTCTGCGACTGTCATCATTTCTGTCGAAAGCACATTTCTGTTTGCACTGTTCACAGGTGGAAGGAGGCCCCCACTTCTTCTCAGAGTTAGTGCACCGCTGGCACTTGTTACCTATAAAGGCTGCTATCACACTGCAGTATTCACAAGCTGTAGGCTGGAAACAGAATCAGTATTTTCTTCTGTATATTTGAATACACAAGAAGTATCAGAATCTGTACTTAACTGAGAAACTGTAATCCCTAATCTACATTTCCATATATTTACCTCCAAAGTCACACATTTTCAAACATTAATAAGTCAATATTTACAGTTTCTTATGGTCACAAAAGGCTGCCAAATCATGAAATGTTTCTTGGGTGTGTTTGTTTTCAAGGATGTTGCTTGCATTTATCAAAAACAAAAGGAGCATGGGGTACTGTTATTCTCAACTGAAATCTATGTCACCCTCTTGAGCTTTGGTAGTGACTAAAAGAAATAAACTAATCGTCGTCACCTTGGCATCGATTCTTTTCTGCTAAACCAGATTAATGATATACGTGTTCATGAATGAAGCACTTTCTAATTAGAAAAAAACAGAGAATGCCTGAAATTGATGTGCCAATTCCCAAGAATCATTTCTCCTATTTTAGCCTGTACAGTTATTTAAGATAAACAGATTCCTTGAATGTTCCAACTGCTTGGTTTATCTCCAATGCAACATAGTACAAGGTGTAATGTGACATACCTTCCCATATACTTTAACATTGTAGGCACATTTCTTACAGATAGAGTGGGTGCTGCCTTTACTGAAAAATGAAAAAGGATACATTCAGACAAGAAATGGGTATTATATCATCATGGATAAATTTGTTTCCAAACATTAATGATTGCAATCAATGTCTTCAGCATCAACTGATAAATCAGAGATAAAAATTTATCATGTTAATACTTACTTGACTTGTTGGAATTCTGCTCGACAATATGTGCACTTGACAATAGGATAATTATTTCGACAGTCCTGAAACAAAATTTTATATTATTACCAATTGTTAAGACATGACGAAGGTGTATGAATATGATGATTTCGGACTCAAGACAAAATGCATCTACCATGGCAACCATTATTTACCAAGTAGTTTTCAAGATTGGATGCTAATTCTTACCATGACAATACACACTTCAGTTTGCCTTACTAATGACTGAAAAATAGTATTCTTCACTCTTGATGTGACAGATCAGTCATGGATTGCCCCATTTTCAACTGTGTATTGTATTGTTATCATTACATCACCATTCAACAATCAGAATTTTGTTTCCACTGTGACTTCACCATTTCCATCTCTGTTATCACTAACTTTGCTCAGCATTTCTTTCATTCATGAGCTTGAAATACAAAATAATCAAATTCCTCTTCTGAACTCAAATTTGGCATAGTTTCTGTTTAGTTCTACATAAATAAATACATTTAATCCATCAGATGACTGACAAAAAATAATTTTATCCTGGAAAAGATTTTTTTGTGAGTATTATTGTGATTTCCACATACTGCATGATGTTGCACCTGTAATATCGCTACTAGTTTCAATTGTGAGTGAGTGAGTTCAGTTTTACGCCGCACTCAGCAACATTCCAGCTATATGGCGGCGGGCTGTAAATAATCGAGTCTGGACCAGACAATCCAGTGATCAACAGCATGAGCATCGATCTGCGCAACTGGGAACCGATGACATGTGTCAACCAAGTCAGTGAGCCTGACCACCCGATCCCGTTTGTCGCCTCGTACTCATCATACATATCAAGGAGCTCATATCAATAACATGTTTCTGGTAGGAGCAATAAACTTTCTGCAGGCCTGGTATTTCAAAAGGTTTTTCTATGAATTAAGAATTAGCATCCAATCTTGAAAACTACTTGAGTTTACAAAATTATTTAGACTCAGGAATTTATATTTAGCATGCCTCCAGGGATTGGGATAGAGAACTTTGACAATGGCCATTTTCAGGACTATTAGCCATTTTCTGAATTTAGAATGGGCCACTGCCCTTGTATCAATAGTCAATTTCAATATTTTAATGGGCCATTTTTTATTCTAATGTGCAAAATGGCCCATGGCCCATGGCCCCTGCCTTTCCCAATCCCTGTGCCTCTTCAATCCTGCTTTTCGAATGGGATTGCCTAATCACTTCGCACTTGAATTCTTCAATGAAAACAGTGACGAACATATTGTATGGTTTCTCTGGGTTTGAACCTCAGGCACTTTTCATCGAATTATATTTAGATAATATGATATTTTATTCATAAAAGTATTTTCAGATTTATTGTCATTAAAGGGTATAAATATTGTCAGGATTATTACAACATAATATCAGCTTAATATCAGTTTAAACACAGACAATATAAAACATCGGATTAGTGATGTGATTACATGCAAAGATAATGTAGATTTTAGGAATGATTATTCCTTTGAGATGTTTTTAAAAATCGCCTCATGATGTAAATGTACATTTAACATTGTTTGTGTTGTTTGACAAGTGGAAGAGTGTTTTACTTTGAGGAATAGGGGGGATCACTCACTTTGCATAACTGTTCGCCTTGAGATAACTCTTCAAATGGGTGTCTACTATGACATTTCGTACAGGAAAACAATGCAGCCATTCTAAAATTTCAAAACAATTTGGTTAAAATGAATTTTGAGGCCACAAAATCTTCACGGCCTCAAACGGAAGTGGAAAATTTCCGCTGCCATCTGTCTGCGCATGTCTAACCGAGTTTGCTTTTCATGGGACATTTTCTTTATTTTAGCTAATACACTAAAATTTGGTTTCTAAGCGCATGCAATGATGCTTTCTTTGTACATTGTAATTATTTTGTGATGTTAAAGGATTATTATTGCTGTATATTCACAATAATAAAGCGATTGATTGGCATTTTAACCAATGAAAACCAGCATCACAATCAATTTCGCTTCCAGCCAATCATATGAACGTTTACATTTTAAGCGGTAATACCGTCGCCCGGATGCTGTCAGCTTGGTGTTTACATGATTTTTCTGTGCATGGTTCTTCACAAGTTCACCATTTGGTGTGATAACGTTCCACAATGGATGATTCTAATTCCAAAGTAAGTTAGATATCACACTGTTCATTCCATGTACGACATTAGAGTCAAACGTGGTCATGTTAGATGACAGATCGCAACGAATTTACATTTTATTGGCACCACCGAATCACAGGTCTGATCATGCAAACTATAATATGTTGCTGTAACCATCTGGTTTCAGTTTAATTAACCGCTACTGATTGTGATTTTCAACTTCCACCAATGAACCATACACTTGACACTCACAATTCATGTTATTGTCAAACGTTTTACCATCGGTTTGTTACAGTCTGATTATGGTTCAGTTATCTGGTTAAGGTGGGTTTATATAGGTTTAAAAAAAAAGTACAAGGAAATTAGTGTCAATGTCGCTCTATTATTTGACTTTGACACTTAATCATACACAGGTAGCAGCAAGGTTGCAGTTCACTTGGTCAACTATATGGCGTTAATTCGCTCTGACTCACGCTTCAGTGAGTTTGTCTGCCCCTTTGATCCTAAGGGTTACAAAGTTCTGCCAGTTTTAACTCTATCCCTACCCTAGTATCCCCTTCCATAAACACTGTAACATTCCACCTTGATTGACACTAGTTTCCAATCTTACACCCTTCAGTAATGTAGGCTTTTGTATGCCTTTCCAGTCGTATATGTCAAATCTTTGAATGAATTATTCCTTTGAAATAAAAAACGTATCAGTATACATTAGAAGACTTTATTGTGTAAAATCTACACACAGAAATGTGCTAACCCCAAGATAAATTAGTGTGATGAAATCTATGGTCTGATGACTCATTGCAAACCATTGCTCCAGTAAAACATCTTTATAAAATGTTTATATTTCTTCACCTTGATATTGGCACTGTTTCTAGAAATGTGGATGTCACTGATTGGTATGTTTGGTGTAGACACAGATATATCAACGCAAAATATGTATCATGTATGTTAATATGTCGATATTTTTTAAGATCATCAAATTCAGAAATGTACCTTTGCAATTTCAATTGAATGTTTTGCTGTTTTTCCCAGTGCATAAAATCTTCAGATTAAACAGATGTGTTTTAAAGTTATTCTGAATCTAACATATTGCTCTTTATGTTATGTGATAATCTAAAATTGATCACTGTCCAACTATTTCTGTCCAAGTAATGGAAGAACATGTGGATGTGACACAGTTTACAAACAATTCTTTTGTGTTTGCTTTGAAAGCCAAAATGATCACAAGCTGCAAACTGCCTTCTTTTTCCATCCAAGATAAATTCATCAGCATTGTGTAAACGATGGTACTATCCTTGCAAACAAGTTTTACACAAGGGGAAAAACACAAGTGAAAGGTCAAAACATATCGCATAATAAATTGTGGAAGGATGAAAATATTAGATGTTCTTCAAATGTATTAGAAAACTTTTATGCCTCATGCTTTACTGTAATGCTCTTTGTATTACCACATATGTTAACCGATCGATGATATTACTAGATCAAAATGCGTCAGACTTTTCAGTGGGCAAATGTTTACATTTCCACCTTTTTGCTCTTGTTTGTTACTTTGTACACATTTTGCAGCAAAGCCTTAAGAACAAATACTGAGATGTTCTAAATGTAGATTTTCTAAATTATCAGACTGTCAAAGTATTGATTGGACATTTTTGTAACCATAGTAGCAGTACTCCAGCAAGACAGCTCTTTATCTGTCTATTTCTGTGATAGTTGTTGATGTGTAAATTTCCAACTTCTCATTTCAGTATGATTCATTGGTGAGGACAAATCCAAACTTCTGTGTGTGAATAAATTGCTTGTTCCCATCAAGAAATGCCCTAGTCCAGTACCTGACACATTGTTAACCCCTGCAGTATAACCACTGAGTAAAATATGATAAGCGTTTGTATAGCTAAAACAGTTATTTATGAATTATAATCTGAATTGGGAACATTTGAATTCTTATCAGGGTAAGTTGCTGACATTCGTAAACAGCCTGCAGGGCTCCAGATAACTTTTGGGGGTGCGAGTGTACTTACACATCATATTGCAAGTGGAGGTGTACTGAGAATTTTGAAGGAGTACTGACATGTTTTTGTGTGAGCGAGTTGGCGATGTGGTTTGTCTGGACGATTCATCGATCACTATTTCCAACCATGTATTTGTATTTGAAGACGCGTGAGAAATAACTGAGCGACCGTGTGATGCGAGAAATGTCCGTTCCGACTGGATATAAATAGGAACAGTGTAGTTTTTAGCCAATCGAAAAATAGTGACGCATATCGTTGCATGGCAACGCAAGTGATTCCTACTGTCGGGGTTTCCTCATGTGTCAAAATCGTGTTTCGCAAAAGAAACTTGACAAGTATTTATCCGAAATAGATTTCCATTTGCACGATACGCACGGAACTTAAATGTTAGACGTACAAAGGTATTTATGTGCGTACACGATACGCTTGAAATCTTATATTATGTCGTACTTAATTGATTTTGAGGCGTACATTACGCCTGTACGCCCCTTATCTGTAGCCCCTGAGCCTGGAGTCAAATAGCTACTGAGATAAATCCTGAATGTCTTTGCTCATTCATCAGATGCTTCCTACTAATACTTAACATGATACATATATATGTTAATCCCTGAATGTTACTGTAAATATTTGTTAGTGTTGATTGTTAGGCTGTAACGATTCACTCGCATATTCGGTGAATCGAACCGTAGCCCTTCATGAATTCAATTCATTATTCGTGGTCACCAGAACCGAATATTCATGAATATTTACAATTTTTAAGGGAGTGTGTTTTACTTGAACCCTTATGTCCTTTTTCAAAATGAGATATGCAAGAATGCATTATGTACTAGCCTTGTAGTAGCGCAAGTCATGTGAGTTTGCCAAGGCCGTACATGGTACTGTCAACTTAACTATTACATACCAAATTTGAGTGTTATGAGATGACTGGTTATTGCTGTGACAAATTAACACTGTCAACTTGGGCATTCAATATTGTGCATCAGTCATTTAACTACGTGTTGTATTCGTGAATAATTATTCGTATTCGTTACCCAATATTCGTGATACGTATCATATTCGCAACATAGTTTATTCGTTACAGCCCTAGTTGATTGTGTTTATATCTCCATGGTTTGTTCAGGATTTGTACTGTATATCATGATATTAATGTAACTGTGTCAAACCCTGGCTTTAAATATGTCATGAAACTGATGAAAAGTAACTTATAATGAGCTGACTGATGTAACAAGCTATTTTATTGGTCCTGGACCCCTGCTGTATATTTTACTTTTTAGTCAAAATGTGAGTTAGCGAATTTGATTTTACGCCACTTTTAACAATATTCCAGCAATATCACGACGGGGGACACCAGGCATGGGCTTCACACATTGTGCCCATGTGGGGAATGGAACCCGGGCCTTTCAGCGTGACTGCAATGTTTTCTTAAAATTTAACTCCACTAATTTATCACAAACAAAATAGTGATAGCTCCCTGCCATGACAGACTGAATATAAATCACTACAATAAATTAGACTTGACACCTGTCATAATGTTTCCATATATGTATACATATCTTGCACAAATAGAGTATGTGTTATCTGTCCATATAACACCTGGACACATTGACGACTAGTATGTATTAGTGTATGGCGGGGTTGTGAGAGAACGCTTGATCTGAAGAAAGTGAAGTCTGGCAGTATTATACATGACATGCTCCAGCAAGTTTGGATTATTACTGATCTGTATGAAATTGTGTTTTCCTTGTACTCAAGTCAATGACAGTGTTGGTACACCTTTGTATTAAATGTCATTTGATGTTCATTTCAGGTGTCCCATGTCAATTTCAAATAGATCCTTGTCAATTTCAAATTATTTGCTCAGACGAAATTGGTGTGAAGTGAGTTTGCATAGACAGGTTTGCAATTTCACTTTCTTGAATCGGTGTTTGAAGAAATGTTTGCACTGAGTTGAACATTGCTAAATGAACCATTTATTCTCAACCCTGTCGCATTGTCTGTCGCTGTGTTGAGAGAAGGATTGATAAGGGTGGTGAATATGTGTGATTGTGACTTAGTGATCAGAATATTTGTAGATTGAGTAGTTCATGCTTGTGTGAGTTATATACAACCTCTTGACATGTGTAATTTGTTTAAACTGATAGAGGTAGATTGTTATTGAAATATGAATCAGTTCATGTTGAAAGATTTTGATTGCATTGCACTTAATCTCTTGCTGTGTTATCATGTTCTTAAACGCTTTTCATCATGTAGACTTTTTAGAATGTACCTTCAGCAAGTTTATTACTCAAAAGTAGAGTTGATAGATTGAAACTATATGTTGATTGTTGTTTACATTTTCCCAAATGTCTGGTATGTAGGAATTTGTTTTTCAAAATACATAAAGTGGGGCATGAGTTTTGAAGTTATATGTTTAACATTTTTTATTAGAAATCTTTTAAATCATTTATACTGAAAGCAGCTGGATGATTTTTGTTATGTCTTTTATGTCTTCCTTATTTCTGGTCACGAATGAAGAAAGGACTCCCTGTCCCACTGATAATTTAATCTTTTGTTTTCACATTAAATTTTAGGACTCATCTGATTAGTAAATAGACTCTGGCTTGACTGCTGATTAACATATTTTACACTAATTAAGATCCTCCAGAAACTCTTTATCATTTAATCAGGAGTATATTGAAGACAGGTAATCAATTGTTTTTGTGGTTCTCTGCATAAAATATATTGTAATTCTACCTAATGAAGAGAATTAATGGTCATGCTAAATTGGAATATCTACTGTCAATAATGAAGTTGAGATTACTGGAAATTCCAGCATTAAAGGAACTACTGAAAAACTCGGTGTAGACAGAAATTACCATTACCATGGTTACAGATTTGGATTTAATCAGAGATACAGCTATTTTGTCGATTGGTAAATCTGGTTTTGTTTCAAAACTGGTATGTGTCATTGCATCAATTTCAGATAATATTTCCATGATTTTGATAATTTTGAACAGTTCAGCTGAGGCATGTTCAACA